TATTATATATATATATATATATATATATATTATATATATATGTGTGGTGTGTGTGTGTGTGTGTGTGTGTGTGTGTGTGTGTTTACATAAGCACCCAACACACATTCTCCACCAGTAATATAACCAAACTGCATTCGCGAAAGCTGGTTCGGACGCCCCCCACCCCCACCCCCATCCTCCCCCCTCCGCCCCTCGCAATCACCAACACGGGACCGGCGGCCTTCTATTACCAGCTGATGCATCTGCGGCTGGCATTCAGAGACGCGCCCGGGCCCCGCGAACCAGCCCGCCGCCCGCGAGTCCTCCTCCTCCTCCTCCTCCTCCTCTGCACGCCCCACGCAATCCAATAAGGCAGACCCGAGCTGACCTCCGAGGCGCCCGCTCCTAACCCTCTTCTGGGGGGGGGGGAGGGGGGAGGAGGGGAGAGAGGGAGAGAGAGAGAGAGAGAGAGAGAGGAGAGAGAGAGAGAGAGGGGGGAGAGAGAGAGAGAGAGAGAGAGAGAGAGAGAGAGAGAGAGAGAGAGAGAGAGAGAGAGAGAGAGAGACAGTCTCTTGTGTATAGGAACTACATGCTACAGTCGCACATTATGTAGGCCTATATTCACAAATATCGATAGAGAAATAAATGTATGTTCATAAGCGAGCATATAACATATACGCGAGTACGTTTGTATGTATATATAACCTACATATCTACCAAAAGCAACACAAAAAATACACTGTAAATCAATACACAAACACAAAAAACAACGATAAAACCTGACATCTTAGCTTCCTCTCCCCTGTGGTGTCCAGTGCCTCTCGACAGCGCGGCGAGTCCCAGGGCAAGATATCACACCCCCCCCCCCGCAAAAAAAGTAAATCAATGAAAATAAATCAATAAAAATAAATAAATAAATAAAAGGGGACAAACTATTTACATCACCTTAAACCTACGACCTCCCTGACGAAGACCTATCGGGCCACCTACACCCCCCCACCCTTCTTCCCCCCTCCCGTCCCAATCACACCCTATACCCTACCCCTCCCCCTTCCCCCCTCCCCACCCACCCACTCCTCTCCGAAAACACAAGCCTGGCGACGAGGAGGCCCTTGCTCCCCCGAGAGGCCGATCTCCAAGCGGGACTTCCGGCTTCGGGGACGACCCGCGGCGATCGACTCGCGTAAAATTAGAAAAAAAGAAAAAGAAATAGAAGAGAGAAACTTATAGAAGAAAAGAAAAATTAAGAAAAATCAATAAAAAACATAAAGGGAAAAAATATTAAAAGAAAGAAAAGGCAAATAAAAAAAAGAAAAAATACAAATATAATAAATAAAGAAAAAAAAAAAAAGGGAAAAAATACAAATAAAAATAAAAAAAAATAAAGATATAAAAAAAGAAAGAATACGCAATATGAAAACGAGACGAAAAGAACACGACTAAAACGCCCGAGAGAGAGAGGAAGGAAGGCAAACCAGAGGAAGAAGCAAGAGAGCAAAACTGCAGTCGAGCGAGCAAGGCGTTGGGGGCTACTCTCTTGCCCAGACACGCACACACGCACACGCACGCACACACACACACACACACACACACGAGAGCCGCGCCGTGTGTGAAGGAGACGGCCTCATCGATTCTGGACGGCCGTGCATTAAATATTCTCCTATATTTAGCGCACTCCGGCGAGCCACTAGCCTATCGTGCGTCCATCTTAACAACTCGAGAGGTGGATTCCGTACGCGGCTTCACGGGAGAAAACGCAACCACACACGTACACACGGTAAACACAATTGTACACAGCAGCCAGTTAGCTGTATGACAGAGAGAGAGAGAGGAGAGAGAGAGAGAGAGAGAGAGAGAGAAGAGAGAGAGAGAGAGAGAGAGAGAGAGAGAGAGAGAGAGAGAAGAGAGAGAGAGAGAGAGAGAGAGAGAGAGAGAGAGAGAGAGAGAGAGAGAGAGAGAGAGAGAGTAGTCAGAGAGTGTATGTCCGTATGTACACCAACACAGCACAAACACCACATGCAACGTACTGCCATCACGACCTACCAACACACCCGGCGCTGATGAGTACAGACCCCAACCTACAAAAAGCCATCCCCAGCCCCAAGGAGACCCCGGCACGGCCCTCCTGGCACGTACGGCACAGCAGGTAGGGCGCCGTGCATCAAAGAGGAGGGGAGGGGGGGGGGGGAGGAGGGGGTGCCACAAGGACCTCGCTGTGCCCATGAATGCTCATTGAGACTTCCAAGTGGATGCCGATGGGTGCCGTTCGCTGGCACTGAAATGCACCCGGGCGACTTCCTCCGAGCGAAAAGGGGGAGCAAAATAAACCGGACGAGAAACGGGTGTTTAAAGGGGAACGGGATGCACTTGGCGCTCGCTCTCAAGTTTTCATCGCGGAAAACCTATCCACCTAAACGACAAAAAAGGGGGAAAAAGAAAAGAAAGAAAAAGAAGAAGAAGAAAAAGAGGGGGGGGGGGCGTACTCTCCTATCCTCTCCTTCCAGCTGTGTATTCGCCTCACTACTTCGCGGCAAAACGAAAAAGAGGGAATGGGATAAGGAAGAACATGATAATTATAATGATGATAATAACAATAATAAAAAATGACGACGATGTTGATAAAAAAATAATAAAGAATGAAAACAAAGCGAAAAGAGGGAGAGAGGGAGAGAGAGAGGGAGGAAGGGAAGAAGAGGAGAGAAGAGAGAGAAGAGAGAGAGAGAGAGAGAGAGAGAGAGAGAGAGAGAGAGAGAGAGAGAGAGAGAGAGAGAGAGAGAGAGAGAGAGAGAGAGAAGAGAGAGATACCCACAACAAGAACGGAGTGAAAGCAACCCAAACGCAGCGTCTCCCCACCAAATAAGGCGCACATATAAACCGAAAGGCAACCAGCGAGAGGAGCGCGACCCCGTATAAACGCAGAAAAGACGCACACCGAACCCGCGACGGAAGAAGCAAGAACAACAAAAGAACAACAACAGAACAAACAACAACAAAAGCAACAACCAAAACACCCTCTAACCCCAACCGGCACGCGCGCCGGGTTAAAAACGTGGCAGCGCTGGTGTTTTTGTCAATTTCTGCTCATCTGCCTAATGGACCGGAGCAAAATAAATATTCAACGTGACAGTGGAATCGAGTATTGTATTCTGCGCTGCATCAATAAGGGCGGTCTATTTTTACCTTGACAAAGGGCCTGGAATAAGCATGAAACAAAACCGGAGGACTAGAAGAGGAGGAAGGGGGTGTGGGGTGAGAGGGAAGGAGGAGAGAAAAGAGGGGGGGGGGAGAGAGTGAGGAGGGGAAGGAGAGAGAGAGAGAGAGAGAGAGAGAGAGAAGAGAGAGAAGAGAGAGAGAGAGAGAGAGAAGAAGAGAGAGAGAGAGAGAGAGAGAGAGCGAGAGAGGAGAGAGAGGTGGAGCGAAGAAGAGAGAGAGAGAGGAAGGAAAGGAAAGAGAGAGAAGAGAAAGGATAACGGCACACATTTATATCTAAAAACAGACAACTCCCTGCAATCCTATATATACCTGTCCCAATTTTTTTTTTCTAGAGGCGGTCGCATTAACTCATGATCGCGTCCACTCGGCAAGGACGTCTGGCACGGATCGCCTTGTTTCCTACGCATCTACCCGTCGTTTCCTCCTTAATGCCTTCCGGTCTTTGTCTTGGCCCAAACGAACAGCTTCATCCTGTCGCACTTTCTTCCCCCGAATCCCGCGAATATCACTTCTTCCTGGAAATCCTATACGCAATGCTCCCAAACCTTTATTTTTTTTTTATTCCGGGTGGGTTGGGCAGTTCTTGCGCATTAAAGGAGAAGGATAGAGAGACGGATAAAGAGGAGGATGGGGGAGACCAGGAGGAAGACGAAGAAAGCAAAAAAGTGTCTGAGAGAGAGAGAGAGAGAGAGAGAGAGAGAGAGAGAGAGAGAGAGAGAGAGAGAGAGAGAGAGAGAGAGAGAGAGAAGAGAGAGAGAGAGAAGAAGAAGAGGAAGAGAAAGGAGAGAGAGAGAGAGAGAAATGCCCCAAACGACAACCTGCCACAGCGCGTGTCCCACCACCGCGCCGCGAAGAGGACGCCCCTATTGCACGTAAATACCGAGAGTACACACAAAGATAATAAAGGGTGAGGGGGGGAGAGGGAGGGGGAGACAGGTGTGGTTGACGGCGCGTGGCTTATGAATGCTGTACGCCCGAGGGGTCGCCTCCGCTGGGAACAGAGTCCTCGCGATATGAGAGAGAGAGAGAGAAGAGAGAGAGAGAGAGAGAGAGAGAGAGAGAGAGAGAGAGAGAGAGAGAGAGAGAGAGAGAGAGAGAGAGAGAGATATATACTCCAATCTATCCCCTGTCCAATCGAACGAACACACACAACACACTCCCCCTCCTCCCCCCCTCCCCTCCCTCTCCGAAATAGCACCACATAAGGGGGGAGGGGGAGGGGGGAGGAAGGGACAAGGTCTCGTGAGCAAGGAGCACCTGCCTCGCAAATTACCCCTAATGGATTGATACTTACGCCTTCAACGGGCAAGAGAGCGCCAGTTTCGAGAAGACGGAGTGGCGTGTCCCGGACGTCTGCTTATCAACAAGGCACAATATAAAGCGCGTGTGGGTAGGGAGGTGGGCGTGGGGGGGAAGGAGGTGGGCGTGTGGGTAGGGAGGTGGGCGTGGGTGGGTAAGGATGGGCGTGTGGGTGGGCGTGAGGGGAGGAGACGTGAAAAAAAAAAACAATCCAAAGGTTTACGCAATCGTCGACATTTCGTGACTGACGGCTTGGTGTGTAACCGTAAATGGCTGTATGCATATTTATGAATGAACGAATGAGGTTCAGCATGAATAAGGGTATGTGATTTTACCCTCTGGAATGAATTCGAACTTGCACAATAGTTTCCCTTCCTGGACATGACCAGGTCTGTGCGCTTTCACACATAAGAAGAAAGAATAAAAAAAGGATAAAAGAGAAGAAAAAAAGTAGTAAAAGCAGTAAACAAATATGAATGCAAGTTAGCAAAAACCCAGAACGCGAACAATTACCAGCCCCAACCAAAATACCCAAGCCTTACCTTTAGCTTCTTGTTGAGCTTCTGGCAGTAGCGGTACAGCATGGCCAGGTTGAGAGGGCCGAAGTCGGCGTAGAAGCTCTCATAGACCAGCTCATCGTCAATGGAGAAGTAGTGGGTGTTGGCGGTGGAGCGAGGGCGGCCCGTGGTCCTCAGGGTCACGAAGTAGAGCCGATCTGGAGAGGGGGCGGGGGGCGAGGGAGGGAGGGAGAGAGAGAGACGGGCATCACCATTAGCATAATCTTTAAACTCGTGTGTGTCTCATTTACACCCATTAATATTTATGGGACTTCCTGATACCTCCTCCTCTCTTTAAAAGGATAATCTAAGTGCCTTGCTTTATTTAAACTGTCGCAGGAAACGATGAAAAACTTTATAGCTACCTCATTAAAGGCCCCAATAAAAAGAGAAAATACAAACTTGAGATAAAGACACCTCAAGAAAATAACAACACACAATAGCATCCCTTAGGAAACACAATAAGATATTTCCATTAACCCAAAAAAGGACAAGCTGGTCCCCCAAACATATTAATGGCATTCAAAGGTGCCACGTAGTTTGGCGTCTATCAAGGTCATCTATAATCCTTCCATTTACATATTAACAATCATCAAAACTACTTGAATAGCCTTTAAAACCCAACAGCAGCAATGACTGTATACTTGTACAACACATCTTACATCTTGAGGACTTGCTCTTCATTAAAACAAGAACAAACCACAATAACATCTGGATTCATTGTTAAGCCCAGAGAGTACACATCCATGCATCTTGTGAATGTAAATCTAACATGTAAATTCAGGACAGTAAAGAGGATATGTCAAAAAGAATGTTAACCAAAGACTAGATGTACATATACAGCATGGGCATTGCTTCATCCTGAGACTCATCAACTTATACAGAAATAAGTATTTACAAGGAGAAGAGCCATATATAAGCATTTAAATGAACTCGGTGCCAAAAATAAACCTCTTAAATATTAAAAACAACATTACGAAAGCCCCCAGTGTTATAATCCGCCTTCCATTAATTATTCGAGTTTAACCAGAATTCAATTTTGATTAATATTGAATATGCAATTTTGATCAATACTCCACAATTGAGGGAGCTTCTGTTAATCTTCCTTGACAATCATAGATATCTGTTTTTGGCCCAATTCCCACAAGGATGATTTTGACATCAATTCTAATAGATAAATAACTAGTGAGATCTTCGCCAATTTTACACCTCATAACGGTAAATAGAACAGGAGATATGGCACCCCTACAAATACAAACAAGGTCTATCTAATATTTCTCATAATATAATAGGTAAGAGTAAATAATAATTCAGAGTAATATGAGGAAATATAAATGAGATTTATATGTAAGAAATGAGAGAAAATTATATTCTAGATATATTCATTAAGAGGCACAATATTATGGCATCCACATAGGCCTACACAAATGTCTATCTCACCTTTAATATATTCGGCAGCACACACAAGCACCTCGCTCGAGTCTTCCATGGTTTCTCCAACACTCTTTTTCACAATTGAAAACACCGTCACAAGATCCCTATATAACAGTTAATCAACAAAATGTTCCAATTCAAAATAGTTTTTCTTCAATATTTTGCGTCACAACACTCGCTTTACGCAGGGGGGCTTGGCATATGGTATTTCACACACTTATTTAATAGGATCTGCTTTTTAACCTTACCCACTCGGAGCACCAATGGGTAGACGTATCCCTAATCCACTACCTTAGGGTTCATTAAGGTAAAAAATCTAAATACGAACACAAAATTCACTTAAAATGCACGAGAGCTGAACGCACGTCAACATCCCTCCGAGGCCATGTTGGTTTTAAATGCTTTGAAAATCTCTCGGCCAATCACAGACCACGGGAAGCACGGTGAGGTGCTGGATGTTCTATTGGTCTTTATTCTTTTTTGATAATGTACTGATTGATTCAAGTATATATGACAACAAAACTTTAGAATATTATTTTTCTATGTTCTAAGCTGATACGAATATCTATTTTGGCATTATTTAGGTGCGGAAATATAAGGCTTAATATAAAACAAATGACGAAATTTGGCAGCGCTCAGCCAACGATCAAAGTGGTGCTGTACAAGCCGCCGCAACGCATACCCATTCTTGGGAAATCCGCTTTTATCCCGTTTTCTAGTACATTAATCCTCAAGATAAACATTGATTTTTTAGCCAATAAAGATTGAATTTGAAGAAGAAAAAAATAAAGTTATTAATAATCGACAATACACTTAGTATCATTCAGACCTAAGGCTTGATAAAGGGATTTAATGATATCTTGCGAAAACCACGCATGTTTATCAGTATCGAGTTTTTACCAACAAAAACATAAAATAACAATCAAATATAAATAAAACATTCTTCCCACGAAGGGAATTAGTATTTCGGAAATAAACGACCTAGAAATCATTCTCGCTCCGAAAAGAACCATCGTCTCGGCCAAGTTCTGTTGTTGTCTTGTTAGATTATTTACCTCCGTTAATCAAAAGTCATGGTAAGTCCCACACACTCTCTAAACCTTGCTAATTTCTCGAGCCGCTTCCTATTTCGCCAAAATAACTCGCTGGAAGGAAAACAGAGACGAGATAATAGCCTGAGGACTATTTTCCAAGTGAGCAGAAAGGTGCCTTGGTTGAGCGCTGTCCTCGGGGGTGTAAGTGCCGGTGTTGTAAATTGTAAATTGTAAATCGAAAATTGCGATTTGGAAAGCGTAAATGACATGTAAGAAGTTGCAGACGGTAAATTTTCACGTGGAAGCCGCAAATCTTAAATTGGGTGTGCATGTGTGTGGGTGTAAATGGGGGTGCATTGTAAATTGTAAATTGTTGAAATATTTGTCTCTTTAAATTTTTTTCGGGGAAATAGTGTGGTAAATAACGTCTCTCTAAAGTTTCCATGAAATGTAATTGTCTGCTTTGTTGTGTGTCCTTTGTTTGTCCATCTGTGAGTTTTCATTTTTTTGTTTAGAATTATTAGGATTTTTGTAAAGTATCCAAAATATGAAAATTAAACTTATTATTCACTTGTCGGGTTCGGAATTACCAGCAGGAACGGAATGGTTGAAGTTTCTTTCGATTGTTGCTGTAATTCAAAGCAGGATTTGACGATCATGTGATTTTGTAGGATATATTACATGCTGGTACACTGAGTATTCACTACATTCTTGTTTATTGGTATACTTTTGTGGTTAAATGTTCGGAATACTTATGCTTGACTGATCATGAAGATAGTGGTACCATTGGATTCCTCTCGCCGTCTACTACCCAAATATTTAGGAATTATGTTGCGGAAACCTTCCATTCCCTTGCAGTCTTGGTTACGATAGTAGGGGAGGGCATGAAGGTTTACCAGGGAAATTGTCTAAAAAAAAAATGTTTATAGTTTGTTTTATACAGCCATATGGTACTAGATAAACTTCGGCTGCAATGGACGGAATGATAGAAAATAAGTAAATTTTTTAGTTTAACAGCCATCCAATCTTGCAATCATTATTCCTTCTTTCAATTATTAGGGCTGTAATGTATTTGAGTCTCTTCATTTTTTCTATCATAAATGATATTAATGATAGTATTGGTAATGTTTACAAAGTGACTGCACCCTTCCGAGATTAAGTCCATATTACTCCAGCCATCCCTGGGAAATTCACAAACATTGCTGCATGAACCAGAAATCTTCCTAACCCCACCCAGTTACCATATATCCCAATCAGGGGCTCCGAACTGAGTCCACTACTTTATCACCTTGGGCTTGCTCTCTGCTTTGCATTTATCGCAACATATTTTCTTAATTTCTGACGTTAAAAAAATGTTGCCGTCTGACGTCTATGGTATTTCCTTCATAATTTTAAGATAAAAAAAGTTGTGCAACACTTGATATTTGGGTAGACATTTACCTAGTGACTCCACAAAGAAAAGGAAAATCTATGCTTACTGATACATAAAATTCTTTTGTATAGGCAAAGAATGTCTGTAATGAAGGAATTAGATAATGACAAATGGAGGTTTAGGGGCAAAGCAGAGAGAAGTGCAACAATTGGGAGAGGGTCTGGTGGTAAAGGTTTTTGGTTCATATGGCAGTGTTTGACGATTCCCAAGAATAGCAAGAGTAATAGGGATCTGTCTCGGAAGGGTGTGGTCATTTTGTAAACAGTTGCAAATACTTTCACTTTGTAATATATTATTTGCAGTTGATTCATACATATAATTCTGTGAATAATTGAAACCATGAATGATAATACCACTGCTGGATGGTTGCGTGGAGAAAAGAAAAATACAGTACACCCAAAATTATGTAATACTGGTATCATTGTGATTAGTTCCTTATTGTGTTGACGGGGGCTGTTCCCCGTTTACTACTAAGTGTAGCTGGGTCTTCGTTTTACAGTTTGTAGTTATTCTGGGTACATCCTCGTATCCCTGCAATACCTGGAGGATTCTTTGTATTCCAGAGTAGGGACTGGGGGTGGTAGCCCCTCCAGGAGAGTTGGAAGGCAGGCTTAGCCCCATGCGTTAGATTATTTGATGTAGTAAATGTTCAAAAGACCTAATGTGATTAGTCCAGTGTTCCAGCCTGTTGTGAGTAGCTGGAGAATTCTTGGCTTTCCAGGGTGGGTAGCACCTGTAGGGGGGTCGTAGGGGTTGCAAGCCCACTGCATTACATGAGTTAATGACCTAATTTGCATATATCTTCAATATTTAACCCTACATTTTTCCTGCTAACTGTCACGCCCTCTCTTACTATCGGAGCCAAGTTTGTGGAGTATAGGGGATATGTGTTATAATACTTAATAGGTATGAGTTGTAGAGGGTGAGAAACGCAAACAGGGGAAACTGCTGATGCGCGCTTATAATCCCATGATGATGTCCTCTTGCCAAACTTTTTTTTACCCAGGGTGATTGGGTTAATATTAACATTAGATGCTAGCTTATAATCCCATGATGATGTCCACTTGCCAAACTTTTCAACTTCAAATATGAATCCAGTGATAGATTGTCTTTTACATATTTTTCCTCTATATGTGTGCGTGTTTGTATGAGCAGAAATCTTTGGTAATTTGTTGCCAATTAAAGAACAGTTGCTGCACCATATATATTCTAGCAGTATAGGGTTGGGTTTTATGATTGGCACATGTAAACTTCATGGTCATGATTTTGGCAATGAAAGGTAGGTTGCTAAAGTCCTACTTTCCTGGTATCTCTGGCATCCTTTTTTGTTTTGCTTTGTTTAATTTATTTGGCATATAAAGAATGAAGTGATTGGATTAGGGAGTTGATGAAAAATATGTTGCGAACTTAAATTTTGTACCATCTGAGATATTTGTCCTATCAACAGCTAGCCTCTGAGCCCCTCCTATTCCCCTTTGTTGTTGTCTGCTTAGTCAGGCACATGGACTCCTCCTTGTGACTTGTATTTGTATTTTTTGCCATTTATGACGACTTGTTTTATAACTTCATATGATAGGTGCTTTATGTCTCTATATATCCTTCATGTACCTGAAAAGTTCTATTTTCTAAACTTATAAAGGGTAATTATTTTTAACCTTGACTGCTCTATTATGCAATTTTGACAGTCCCTTGTGCTTTATGCTTTTGATGTATGAGAATATTGACCTTGACTGCTCTATTATGCAATTTTGAGTCCCTTGAGATAAGATATGTATTGCCTGCTGTTTGAAAATTAAGCTTTTGAAAAATCAAAGACTAGGATTTACCTTGGTGCAGTTATAGATTTTTAGATTTTTAGAAGATTTTTATATCCAAGAAAAAATTGGTAAATCCCAAGTGCGATATGAATAGTTTTGAAGATAGTTGTTTGAAAAATCAGACTTTTTTTTTTTTTATAATTTCCTTGCAGGGTATAAGGGATTTCAGTTTGTGAAGAAATGTGGTTGATATGGGCACAGCATCTTTAATGTCATTCATTTTTGGCTTTTGTAGGAACACTTGTCCTACACTAACATTAAATGTAGGATGTATAATCCCCTCTCCCCATTTAAGGCGTCTTTGCGATCAGAACAGCATCTATAAAATTTCACTAGCAACATCAAAGCAAGATCAAAGCATAATGCACAAGATGCAAAAGTCTTAGAAATGTTATACAATATAGTTGTTAATTGTTTTCTAAGTATACAACTTTATTTTCAATTTGCAATGGGAATGTTTTAGAAGAAAATGTTTTTAATCTGCTGGTCATGTGTTTGTGTACTGGTCATTATAGATTTTTGTGAATTTTATAGCACACAGATGGCACCACAAGTGTTCATCCACCAATGGAGTCAATTAATTTGTCCCAGTGACTGTGCCCAATTTCCCCATTCCATGATGAATTTGTGATTTTTTTTTTCTAATTTGATATTGGTATCATTATTGATGCTATTGCTATTATGTTTAATTTAATGATATTGAAATACTAATAGCAATAAAGATGATAGAATAGTGAAAATGAATCTTGTTTAAAATCAGGGAGAAGGGTGAACAGGTGAAATAGCTAGTACATGAGAACTTTACTTTAGTGATAGTGCAGCCTTCCATAGGGGGATGAACAAGGTACTGACCCAAGATAGCTAGACTTGTGATTTAAGATTAGCAAAAATGAATTGTAGGGAAATAAGAAGCCTCTTGTTATTTCTTTGTCATCTAAACTATGCGCTGAATACTAATTGTTGAGCTTGCTATGAGTTGTGCAGTTTATTTTTCCATTATGCAATTATTTTTGTCATCAGACTCTGATAAGTAAAAATGGCAATAACAAAATGGATTTTTTTTTTTTTTTTTTTTTTTTTTTTTTTTTTTTTTTTTTTGGTTA